GGCCTCTTTTCTTGCATATATTGCACCTCGCATCCTTGAAGAAACATATTTGACTATAGTGATTCGTTTTCCCACAATGGCGGCATTTACTGCCTCCTGCTTCATTCTTGGAAAAATTGCTAGATTTTCCCTGGACTGGTGCCGATGTTTTTTGTGTTCTGGATACATGCTGGACATTTCCTTCTGGTGCAATCAAGCCTGAATTTATTTCCGCCGCTTCCATGTTCACGGCGATGTCGTGGGCGATTTTGTAAGTCAATTTTTTTTCCTGAAAAAGACGTTGTCTTACCGCGTCATTTCGAAGGCCAAAAACCAGCTGGTCACGGAGTTGGGTTTCTAAATTAGCCCCAAAATTGCAATTTTTGGATAATTTCTTCAACGTCGCAATATAGCTTGCCATAGATTCTCCATTATCTTGTCTCCTTTGGCGAAATTTGTATCGTTCGGCGATCTCCGACGGAGTTGGCTGAAGATGATCTTTTAGTAAGCTTACCAACCCGACGAAAGTCTGATCTTCTGGTTTCGCTGGGCTACAAAGGTCTACCATTAATTCAAAAACCTCGTCCCCTACTGCAGTAATCAGAATTGCTGTCTTCATTTCTTCTTTGATAGTATTCACTTTGAAATACTGCTCCATTCTTGTTATGTACGAAGTCCAATTTCCCTCGCCGATTTTGAAAGGTTCCAATTTGCCAATCGACATTATTTAATCACAATTACCGACTGCGCCAGTGTAATAATTTGACTTGATTTATAATTATTTAATTTATTTAATTTATAAAATTTATTATTTGCGGGAGAAATAAAACGCCTTATTTCGTTGCTGAATCGTAAGTGAAAAAGATGATATATTTCTGGGTACTCACGGTACGGTTAATGTAAACAATATAATAAAAAGCATTGGAATGTATACAGAACGGTACTATCAACTTAAATATAGGGTGAGTTTACTACAGGTTGTTATTATTTTCTGAAAAAATTGTTGTGCCTTTGTCTATTCGCTTTGAAATGTTAGATCTTTTACATGAGGAACATGTAGGAATCGAGAAATCTAAAGGGCGTGCGCGTCAAATATTTTACTGGCCGGGTATCAATGAAGATATTGAAAATAAAAATAAATTATGCAAAATTTGTGAAACTGATTCTCGGAAGCAACAGAAAGAATCATAAATTTTATATCCAATACCTGTACGACGTTGGGAGAGGCTTGGCCTTGATATTTTTTCATTTTCTGGAAAAAGTTACCTGATCATTTTTCATTCATACTCGAACTGGCTTGAGTTATGTTGTATAAAAGATAAATCGATCAAATCTATTCTAAATTCCTTAAAAAAGGTGCTTTGTATTTTTGGTGCTCCAGATAGTGTAGTTTCAGACAATGTCCCGTTTAATAGTTTTGAAATCAGGAATTTTGCTGAAGCATGGAATTTCAATATTATCACCAGAAGCCCGAATTACCCGCGTTCTTATGGCTTAGCCGAAAAAGGAGTAGACATTGGAAAAAATATTCTTAAAAAATCGTTGGAGAAGAATGAAGATATTGAAATTGCATTGCTTCAGTTTCGTAACTCACCATTAAAACATATAGGTTATTCTCCCTCCCAGTTGCTCATGCATGAGCAGAATATGTAAAACCAAATTACCAATTAGTAGTGACTTTTTAAAACCAAAGTTGTGTGAAAATGTATTGGAAAAGTTAAAAAAATAAGCATTGTATTTACAGCAAGTACTATAACAAAAACGCTAAAAATTTGAAACCTTGGAAACCTAATTGCGATGTCACTATTTATAATGTTCAGAAGCAATGGGAACCAGGTAAAGTTGTTAGTGAGCACAGGACTCCACGTTCTTACCTTGTTCAGAATATATATAACAATGTAGTAAGGCGTAGGTAATCGAATTGATTCAAAGGAGTCTTTAGATAAATTCGTATATCATCTTCAAAATATGATTTAGATGTAGAAATTACGCCAGCTCAGAATGAACATAACGATCAGCCCCAGATCCAAGTTCATTCACCTGTTCAATTCAATTATAGCTCTAAAGCTGGAGATATTCCTTTAGAATCATCAATCATCTTTTGTTTTGTCTTATGATAATTTAAAAAAGACTAGGTCTGGTCGTATTTCCAAACCTCCTAGTAGGCTTAATCTTTAGGAGGAGAGATGTGAGATAATTAGTAATATTGCTTTAGTTCTGTTCTAGTCTAGTTAGTTATTGAAAGCGTTATGTAAAGTCTGTTTTTTTTTTAAAGATAATTCCCCAAGTCAAAAATTTAGTAACTATGTTGGCAACACAAGCCTTTTCTACATAAAAATTTGAAAGCATTGACAATTTTACATTGTATTGCCAACATAATGTCATTTTGACTTTTATCTTTAAAAAAAAACACACAGTACCTACATGGTGACAACATCAGGACACGATGCAGGTCTGATGTCAACTAGTTTTGTATAACGTCAGATCATATCGAGGAAAACAAATTGAGGTACTAATTTATATTTTAAAAAAATTTCAGATCTCAATTTAAGGTAGACAAGCAATAACTGATTTGAATATCTTGAACAAAAATAAATGTTTAATAGGGGTTTCAAAAGTAAATTTTTTGGGGCACTGGATTTCGAGTAAAGGGATAGAAATTGAGGAAACCAGGGTGGAAGCTTTATCCAAGTTTCCAGAGCCAACATGTAAACGCGAGCTACAGCAGTGGCTGGGTATGGTCAATTTCACAGGTCGCTTTATTCCCAATAAATCTGATATTTTGGCACCTTTAAACGAGTTATTGAAAAGTAAAATAATTATTCACTTGGGGATCAGCTCAGAAAGAAGATTATCAGAAAATAATTTCCTTGATAGAAGAAGCATCTTGCTTAGCGTTTTATAACCCAAATAAAAAAATTGTAATAAGTTCAGATTCGAGTTCTTATGAGCTTGGGGCCGCACTTTTTCAAGTAAACGACTCTGGGAGCAAGGAAAGTGTAACTTACGCATCCAGAACTCTCACTCAGAGTGAGGAGCGTTACGCCCAAATTGAAAAAGAATGTTTGGGGCAGAGATGGGCATCTACGCGTAAACAAAGATTGTCTACGTCTGGTGTAAACAACGCGTAGACAATGTAAACTAAGTAGTCTATGTAGACAACGTGTAAAATATGTAGACAACGCGTAAAGTATACAATTTTTGACAGTTGGCAGGCGTTTAAGGTTATGTTTCTGTTTTTGCTTTGTTTTGTTTTTTGCTTTGTAAAGTTAATTAAACCGCAGATAATGTCTAATTTGATACAATATAAATTTAATGCAATGCAAACTTTCAAAAAAATTACTCAAATTTCAAATTTTCTGTTGTCTACATTGTCTACATAGTTTACATAGTCTACATGGAAAAAAGTGGACGTAAACAATACGTAGACAACGAGTAGACAAACCGCGTAAAGTAGATTTCATAGTCTACGGTACATCCCTGGTTTGGGGTTAACATGGGGTTGTGAAAAATTCAGGGAATATGTTTTGGGGCTTTCAAAAGTATTTTTAGAGACCAATCATTAGCCACTTATTCAAATATTAATGACAAAAATTTTGGATGATCTGACTCCCCCACTGCAAAGGTTTTGAATTCGTCTTATGAGATATAACTATGAGGTTATTTATACTCCGGGCAAAGAGTTAACTGTGGCGGACGCTTTCAGCCGGAACCCATTGAAGTATACGGGGCCAGAAGAACTGCAAAGCAAAGTAGAGGCACATGTTTCCATGTTTATTAAAAATTTACCGATTAAAGACACATTTTTAAAAATTAATCGCAGATGAACAGCGTAAAGATTTTGTTTGTAAAAAATTAATAGAGTACTCCTCTAGGAACTGGCCAGAGAAACACCAAATAACACCGGAATTGAGTCCATACTACCAATATCGAAACGACATTTCTGTCAATGAAAATGTCTTACCTGAAGGTACACGACTTGTAATTCTACCCACACTGCAAAAACAATTGTTAGACTTTATCCATTTAGGGCATCAGGGTATAACTAAATGTAGAGAAAGAGCAAAAATGAGCGCTTGGTGGGGACTTTCATTTCAAATTCAAGTTTTGGCTTTAAATTTTCCAAATTGCATTGAAGAAAGGGTAAATATCAAAGAACCGTTTTTCAGAATACTGATATTGCCACTAGGGCTTGGCAAAAAGTTTGTGTTGATCTTTACATCTTTACAAATGTTACATACATACATATTATTACTCTTGCTTCTTTAAGATCAGTGTTCTGGATGAACAGACTACATCTTTAGAAATAATCAATGAAATGAAAGAAGTTTTCGCTCGATATGGGATACCTGACGTGGTTCGAAGTGATAATAGACCCCAGTTCCTGGAAGAATTTGAACATTTTGCAAATAAATACAACTTTAACATATCACTTCGAGTCCGCGATACCTACAATCCAATGTACAGGTCGAGGCAACTGTTAAAACAGCAAAAAGTCTTATTAAAAAGAACAAAATAGATCTTTTTGAAGCTTTACTCTCCTATCGGTGTAAAGCAACTGTGTTACCATTCATTGAAGCCTCCGCTAAAACAGTCCTCTTATACACTTATATCATAATATACTATTATAGATTAGGGATTGACTTCCTTGCTATCCAACAATATTTATTTTTAGACTATTTAGCTGAATGATTTGTCAATGAAATTTTATTTCAGACAATAAATTATATTTTGATTGATTTCTTTCTTCCTTCCTCTTCTACTAGTTTTACAGATCTCTTCTAATTTTCTTTAGTGATTGCTTTGGGCGTACTGGTGAGAGCGTTTTTCTGGTATAAGATGTTTCTGAAAAAGTTTTTTTTTTTTTTTTCTCAGAATCATGTGCGAGTTGGTTTTGGTATACAGCTGTTTTATGTCATGAAGAATCGGATAGTGCTACGCTCTTAGGCGGTGAATTTAACGTATTTCCAGTATTTTTATTGAAATTGTATGCGAAACGATAGAGAAAAAAAAAACACAAATAAAATTCACAAAATTTATTTATTTATTCAGCTTTAAAACTTAAATTAAATTACAAAAATTTTAGGTACTATTACATAAGTACTACATGATTAAGTATTTACTAAATAGATATACCCAGGTACCTTTTAGAGAAATAAAAGTAAAAAGTAGGTACAGTACCAGGCTCAATAAATGCCTCTAAAAACTAAAACTTATCTATAAACTTGAGTAAGTATATTATAATGTCAGATTTTGATATTAAAAGCTCAAATTGCAAGTAAATGTAAAAAAAAGAATACATATTGTTTTTTACCTATTTTAAATTGGATTGTTACGTTACAAGTAGGTATTGAAAACCAATCTTAATGCTACTTCATCCTACACAATCTAGAATAGAAATAAAAATAAATGAAGTACCTATACTTTATATTATGTATGTAAGTACTTTTTGATTATAAATATAGGATGTAGTTAAAAAGAAAATACCTATATAAACATATTTTTCGTTGATTTAAATACATCACAAAAAGGACAAAAAACGTAATGAAACAATTTATAACTAACCTAATGCTACGCTACACATAAAATACTGTTTGATTTTTATATTGGTTGAGGTGTGAAATTGGTTCTATGGAGTAGTTTCCAATAGGATTATAGCAAAGATTTATACCTATTATAAAACTTTAAATATGGTCTTTGGACGTTAGCATTCTCCTGGCTTTACTTCGACGTAGTCTAAAAAAAAAAAAATAAAAATTAATTTCCATTTTAAAAGCAAATAGTGCGGTTGGGAATAATATTTAAGTAGCTATTTGAATTCGTAAGAACTATTATTTGCAAAACAAATTGTCTTAAAAATAGTTTATGATTCAAGAAGGAGCGTCCTACGCCTCTGAATCATTTTTACTACCCATTTAAATGATTTGAGTAACTAACTAATTTCCGCAGATAAAACAAATAAATTGGGATTTCCAACAGCTGATGATTCCATATGAAGAAGTTTAAGATGGTATGAATAGAGAAAAACTTTGGTGTATTGAAAAGTTGTGTCCTAATTTGCTTTGTTTGTATATTGAACTTGCTTTAAATTTAGAAAAATTATCTCTTGCAGATGACCCTTTAATTTATGTTGAAAACAAACATCTTGTTTAGTAATTGGAAATTGTATTAATTAGAAATAATTATCGATACAAAAGTAAGTTTGTCTCCAAAATGGGAAAACAAAAATAAATTGCGCAAGCCTAATACGGGAAGCTCCTTCAGGTTATAATACATCTCCTCCTTCTCCAGAACATTAGAATGGACGATGGCCTGAAGGTTTGGCAGGACCAGGAGGTCGCACAAGGGGTCCAATGGGGCCTAAGTGCCTTGACCCCTCATGGAACACCCTCCAGCAAATCCAGATCAAATATGTATATGTTAGGAATATACATGAGAATGCACCTATACTTCCCATAAATATATCGGAAAATGTGATTTACGATCCAGGTGTTTATCAAAACTGAAGATTTGGAAGAATAATTTATGATGGTAACTAATTTAAAAAACTGAGTATCATCATCTAGGTTTAATTATTCCAGCTCTGGACATACACCTCAACAATTCAACGCCATTTTTGTTGATGACGACCAATAGACTCTACATACATACCCATTCTGTTTTAGCATGTATAGTCAGTTTTAAATTAGTAGTCCGTATGCAACTTTGTGAATCAATATAGTGATATATATCAAAATTTTTGGAAAAATGTGTATATTACGAATATCATTGGGGCGTAACCTGTAGAGGTGGCAGAAGGGAAAAAACTACCCCTAAACCACCCCTACATTAAAAAAATATTTTAGCTATAAAAAGATAGTAGAAAGTTTTTCATTTTCATAGTTATATGTAAATTGTTGAAAAGAAAAACATATTCTGATTTTATGTGTTACAGCTAAGCTCAAAAAATATTGAATTACAGCGTATTTTGGCATTTATATTACATACAGGGTGTCAATTTGAAAACTTACAATGGCTATTTCTCTCAAAAAAATCTGTGAAAACAATTTCTATAATAGCGAGGGGGAACCAAAATGATGTAATAACCAACCTGTTTTCACTTACCCCCTCACCCCCAGCCACCCCAACTAAATAATCTCAAATAGCAACACCCTACATGTGATACCTTATCTGAAAGCTCTTAAAAAAATGCTTTTCAATGGTACCCTACAAGCTAGGATTTGATGTGATGTGAGTTTTTGGTTTATTGGGTAAATGAAACTTCATTTCATTCAATTACATAAATTAAAATTGTATTTTTTTAGACTTGTCAATTTTTTCAGGTTCCCAAAACAACGAATAAACAAAAAATAATAAAAGCCTAAAATGTTTAAGCCTCAAGATTAATGCTACGATAGTAAAAAAATGTTTATTAGATTAATAGTCAGAAATTCAATTCACATTTCAATGGTTTTATTTTGAAAATTATTACATCGAATCCTAGCTTGTAGGGTACCATTGAAAAGCATTTTTTTAAGAACCTTCAGATAAAGTATCACAAGTAGGGGGTTGCTATTTAAGATTATTTAGTTGGGGTGGCTGGGGGTGAGGAGGTAAGTGAAAACAGGTTGGTTTTTACATCATTTTGGTCCCCCCTCCCTATTATAGAAATTGTTTTTATAGATTTTTTTTTTTTTTTTTTTGGTTACTCAGATATAGCCATTGTAAGTTTTTAAATTGACACCCTGTATATAAAGTAAAAAAAATAAAATTATTCGTCATCGAATTCGCTATCCAGAGCATAGTAAGAATCAGTGTCATAGGTTGATTTTTCATCTGCTTTACTATTTGAACATCATTCTGGATCAGCTTTACATTTCCGCGCAAGTATATTTCGTGCTGAACATTTGCATCTTTGAGAACGATTGTTTTTTTTACAGGAACATTTTATTAGATTAATTATTTCTTCAGGTACACAGGGAAAACTAAACATAATTGGTTCTAATTTCAATCCATCAGTGCCAAATTTCCAATCGTAATTTGTTGGAGGTGGTAAATTGGGGTGAGCCTGTGTATCCCGATTCCATTCAATGCACTGATAGTGGCACCTCTCTACTGCCATTTTCAAGGCTGCTCGAGTAAGAGGCATATTTTCGGTTGGAACTTGACTCTGCGAGAACAAGCACCATCTCAGTTTTGCTAGGTTTTTCACACTTTTCTTGGACGGTGAATATAATGACAAATAAATAACTTAATCTGCTCCATATCAGAGTCACTTAGCGTTTCATTTTTGCCCAAAGATGTCAACGCCTGGAGCATGAATGGGGTTGCTCCCAAAAACTTCTTCCAAAAACTAATTTCAGCTTTTCCTTTGAAACCTCCTGTGATATCGGCATCGAGTTAGTTGAAGCTTCCTATTGCTGGGCATTATACTTTTTCTCCATTCGTTCCAGAGAATATTTTTTTCAAATTCTTTTGTAACATTCAGGGTGCCATTTCACTTTCATATCTTTTAATTTAGGTATACGATGTAAACTGGTCTACTGTTAAAGTAAGTATCGGTACATCTTGCTCCTGTTTTGGGATCCCATTTCTTGATTTTCACCAGAGTTTCAGCAAGGGTGTCATAGGCAATCTGCGATGGAGCTTTCACGAATCATGGCATCAGAGTTGTACTGCGCGTATGCGCGTCACACTCTCTATTCTCTTCTCTTCCATTGCCTAGTATTCAATGAATCCGTGGCTCTCTCCTCTCTCTTGCTTGTAAAATGCTTCCTGAAATATTCTCCCTTCGAGCAACTGAGACCTTGGCCTTAGCGCACGAGTGGGGGTTGAAGACGAAGGAAAGCACAAAACGGAAACGCGAATAGCCGAAATTGTGTATCAGATATATACAAACTATAGCTCTCTTTTCCTGCTCTCAACATTACATCTCTCCACTCTGCCTTGCAACGAAGGCTTGTGTTTTGAATATAGCTCGAACGAAATGGGCCTAAACGTAGGTAACGCGTCTTTCAAATCATTCTCCATTCTCGTCCAAATATCAGACCGCCGCCGCCTAAGAAGTTTTACTTTAAACATAAGACTTTTTTCTCAATAAAAATGGTAAATAATACGGATACTCGGGGGTGTGCTTAGCAAAGGGCAATATCTGTACCTACCACAGCTTACAGAAGCCTAGACGTTCATGATTTCATAGTTACATATTATTACATTACGATATTTGCATGTTGCTTGCTTGAGTATTGTTGTAACAGTTAATTTAGCAGATGCCTAAGAAGCTTTTATGAAATCATCCCCCGATTAGGGGATGGTTTCATAATATTTTTAATGATCTCATCTAGGTTATCTGATGAAAGAAAAGTGATGAATAGAATACTATGAAATCCAGTTATAATTAAGGAAATATGTTTTTGCATAATATACACAGTAGGTTAGTATAAGGGTGGTTCTCACCCTTCTGCCGCCATTGCGAGATACGCCCCATTAAAATTTGTGATCTACACATTTTCCTGAAAATTTTGAGGTATCGCATGATATTGCTTCACTAAGTTGCACACGGGATATGATATTTGTACAATTCAAAACTGACTAGTATTTCATATTTCTGAGGCGTTATTTTCAAAAATAGATTGTGATCTTTGAATGGGAAAAATTAGACCTGAAAACTTATCAATAAAGTAAGCTCATCTCGGCAATTGCCTAAAAATTATAGTTTATTGTTATTCCTGCCTTTGGCTCGAAAATTCGCAATATTTCATTGTTCCTTGACTACCTCTTTGCCCTTTCTCTCATAATTACTTCACAATATCACAAGTTTATTTTAACTTTTCTTGAAATCGATTGACGTATGCTTGTAGCCCGTTCTAATCTACCTCAATGGTTCTAATCTTTAAATTTAATTCGGACTACATCTTTTCTGAGCTAGCAGCTTCTCGAACATTATTAGTCTCAGGGCATTCAATCGTTCTGCGTTTATATTGATACCGAGATTTTTCGGATTGAAAGCTTGGAGAACGATAACGTTTTTGGCCGATTGAACCAACATTTCAAGAGCTGTGTCAATACGAGATTAAGGGAGCTTGGAAAGGGGTATTGAATGTTACCGCTGCGGTAGACATTTGAAGAACTACCTCAGAGTTGATCCGCGTGGAAGAGTTCCTGTTATGAGGATCAAGAACACAGTTCCGAACAGACAGGAAGCGATGAATTCAAATAATTTTTGAACATTGGAAAGACCGGCATTAGATCTCCAACAAAAAGGTGAAAGGAAGGATTCGGTAGGCAAAGAAAAAAAAAACAGGAGATTGGTTGAATACAAGTAGCTGCTGATCCAGAAGTACTGGAATGCTATAAGTGCTACGAACATACACGAGAGCACAGACAAAGAGTCTGCCAGTTGACAATTATTGCGCGAAGTATCGCGCTTGTTCCCTCGCCTTGAATTATACTTTCCTACATTTGCCAGAGTCTTGATTTTTCCTCAATATTTCAAGCGCTGGGCTAAATATCCCAAGAGCTACGATAACTACTTGTACAAGATGGAGTCCAAGAGATGCACCAGGCTTCCGCTAGAAGTCGGACAGCTTAAAGAATTCCTCTTTAATCGACAAAAAAAGTTATAAACCATTGTTACGTGCGGTAGTATGTTAAACCAACGCACTCATTGAATTTATACCTTGGAGAAACTCATCAATAAATAATAAGTTTTCCCGTGTTTACTTACATGTGTCCTTTCTGCAAGCCTCCAAAAGTGCATAGCATTTATTCTGGAAGCTCTTGGTGATTCCAGAGTCGTCAATGGCGCATACGGGTCCATGATTACAATCTTCTTCTGGCGGTACACAGTTCGCATGCAGAGAAGGGGGGCGCGGCGCCGCTTCAGTGCCAGTCAAGAGGAAAACACCTGCCGAATAAAAGAGTATTAAATCCCATTGGACAGGTACATAATATATTTGTATATAGGCACCAAGTTCTCAATATTGTTTTAATTGTCACCGCTCTTAAAAATTGGAGTTATAAATCTAGTTTTCCAATTTGTTGAAAACATTCCTGCAGATTGCGGATAATGGTCTGATATAGATTTTACACAAGATGTAAAAAACGAGTATAGTCTGTCGATTTTAATCTGATACTCCAAAGGAATGTGAGCTGGTGGCTCCCTACATTAGAATGACAATGGTCACCTGACCTCACACCTGTTTTTGCCATAATGCTTCACCCCTTCGCTCCTCATACGGAAAGTGTCAAATTGAAAACGATGGACAATAGGTATGCTTTTCAATGTCGGAAACTGGGATATTTGGTTGTTCCTAAGTTATCTTTCAGCTGGAAAATCTTATTATGTTTATCCATAGCTTTGTTTTGGTTCGAAAAAAGGACGATTCTAGAACGGTTCAAAACAATCACCCATTTTATTAATCAACAAAATGACAACAGCTCGGCTATCAAAAATTTCAATAAAAAACTGTACGATTCTTTTGGACTGTTCTAGAACTGTCCTTTTTTGAATCCAAAACAAAGCTCATGACAATAATACTAAATGGTACTAAAATTGTTTATATCGCCATATTCTTTATATAGGTACGGAGCTAAAATTATCTATAAAAAGATTTACAATTTTCGCAGGAAAATCTGCTTTCTTATCTATATCATAAAGCTGTGAAAACCTTTGGAATCTCCAAGTAGTTTTGATTGCTGATGGGGGCATATTGTTTGCAATGCACACGTGTAGCGCTGAGATTCTATTCTATGGTAAATCTCTAGGATGATGTTTGCTTTAAGCGGCTATTTTATTTAAGATTAGTTCATTCAATTTGATGTGTCATCCATCTACTTTGCAAAAATTGGATTTTAAGTATACATATTATGGCGCTTTCGCCAGCATGCACAGAATCAAATCTGAAATCCAGAATTTACTGCCTTTCTCAGGAAAAGAGATTATCGCGTTTATTCTGGATTTAACAAGAATGGACTACGGATATATAAAACTCCGTATTAGTAGTTTTTAGGTTTAAGATTGGCTGTAATACGTTTTAGATAGTGATTATTGTAAAGAGTTAAGTTGTTTGAGTTAATTAGTAAAGTAATTAGTGTCAGGGTGTGTAGTAACGTGGAATAAATTATTGTCGTGTTAAGTAATTGGACTTTGATTTTGGAATAAATGCACCCAAGATTTCTTTCCCGCACCGCAGAACCGTGACATTGATGTCAGAAGTGTGATATAATTCGAGGACTCCAGAGTGGAATCCGATTGCAGAGTAGTGTGGACACTAGTTTGGACACTAAGAGAACACTGGGACAATAAGTCAGTGTACGCAGGGACAATAACAAAAAAAGACTTAACCGATTGTGTAAATTACCCCGGAAGTGACTGTACAGGGTATTTGATTATATTTGGACCCATACTTACAGGCTTTACTATTTAAGATAGAAAAAGATTTAAATACAAAACTTGACAGTTTTTTTCTATATTTTCTTTTAACGTTATCTGAAAAAACAAAATCGCATCGGAAAATGGAGAAACGTAGACAACTTTGACTTTTTTTAACGGAACACCCTGTATATTTAGCGATAAAATGAAAGATCTTTTCTTCCTGATTCCAAATATATATATTGATCACATTTCAGTGAGCGGTTTTTGACATATTTTAGCTTAAATTATAAATAATTTGCAAAGAAATCTCATAAGGATGTCAAGACATTTAAATATCTATAAAATTTCTTTGGATTTTATTTATAATTTAAGCTAAGATAAATATATCAAAAACGGCTCACCCAAATGTGATCAATATACAGGGAATAACTCGTGAGGATTTTGAACCTAGAGTCCAGTTTTGTCGATGGCTTCTGGATCAAATCATTGAACAGCTCAATTTTTTGCAGTTTCTTTTGTTCACCGATGAAGCTTGCTTCACACGAGATGGCATATCTAACAGCAGAAATAGTGACATCTGGGCTGAAGTAAATCCGCATGCGACAACTCCCGGAGCACATCAGCAACGTTGGTCTGTCAACGTGTGAGCTGGTATTGTTGACGAATATTTAATTGGACCATATTTGTTTCCTGACCGTTTAACAGGACCCATCTACAGACATTTCTTCGAGGAAGGTTTGCCGCAGCTACTGCAAAATGTTCCGTTAAAAATCCGACAGAGAATGTGGCTGCAGCACGATGGGGCACCTGCACACTTTTCAGTGGAAGTCCGGCACTACTTGAGTCAGCAATTCGGACAACGTTGGATAGGTAGAGGAGTCCCAGTTGCTTGGCCGCCAAGATCACCAGACTTAACCCCCCCCCCCTGGACCTTTTCCTCTGGGGACACATGAAGTCCCTGGTTTACGTGCGTGCAAAGCAGCAGCTTCTTTAATAATTCAAAATACGAATGGAGTATTTGCAACAGTTCGCGTAAATAACGTTCGACGCTGCAACAAGTGCATAGAGGTTCAGGGAAGACATTTTGAACAATTTCTTTAGTATTTGCACAGAGTATTAGCATTCAGGAAAATAATGGGGACTTATTCGTTTAGCATTAACAAAAAAAAAATTAAATTTAGTATTTTTTTCGTCAAAACACGCAACTTTTTATTAATTTCAAAGTACCTAATAATAAACATTTTCATAAATTTTTATTATGGTGTTTCCTAGTAACATGCAGAGAAACGGGCTTTATTGTTTTTTCTCGATAAAGAAGAGATATACGAAAAAAAATCGAAAGACAAATAAAATGTTATATGAATTGTTTACTCAATCTAAAAAAAAATATCAAAATTTTAGAAAAACAGTGACGTGCCATTTTTGTTCTACTTTTACCAACGTAGTTGCCCTCTGGGGCGCCACTGCAATAATTACGGTACTTAAATCTAATTGAGTCTAAAGATACATTTTGTATTTATGAACAAACCTGCCAAATTTAAAGAAAATTGGCAAAAGAATTTTTGAGGAAAAAAAAAACATTTTTTTTCAAAGTTTGACACCCTGTATCTCGAAAACTAAGCATTTGCGGACCCATGTGTCTATTAATTTTTATTTTATTTTAATGAGTTCTATTTATCCTAGAAGTTTGATCTCATTATTTGTTAACACCTTGTATATTAGGAATCAGGAAAAAAAGATCTTTCATTTTATCGCATAATATATAGGGTGTTCCATTAAAAACAGTTGAAGTTGTTGTACGTTTCTCCTTTTTCCGATGCGATTTTGTTTCTTCTGATATCGTTAAAAGAAAATATAGGAAAAAGTTGTCAAGTTTTGTATTTAAAATTTTTTTCTATCTTAAATAGTAAAAGGGGTATGGGTCCAAATATAATCAAATACCCTGATAGTGAGTTTTCAAGTAAGTTCTAGAAAATTATATTTGGAAATCAAGGGAGATATCGAATTTGTGACTTCACCGACGTGTTAACTATGTCAATTGACATTCAGGAAAGACATTTCAAGAAAATTCTAGAACATTCTATTTGACAATAAAGCAAGTTATCCAATTTGTGACTTTACCGAAGTGTTTGGAACTGGGCTCAAGAACACAAGTTAAAGTAAAAATCGGAAGAGAAAATTTCTATCTTTACAGCGCTGTAAATCCAAGGAATGGAGATGATGTTAGCCTACTTGCTCCACATGTAAACACAGATTGCATGAACATATTTTTGGAGCAGATGTCGAAAGATTTGGGGAGTAGAGAAGCTTTTCTTATCATGGATTGCGCAAGTTGGCATAGGTCTAAAGGTTTAAAAACTCCTGAAAATATCACCATAATTTATTTGCCACCGTACTCGCCTGAGCTTAATCCTGAATGAAGGCAAGAATGGAGGGAAGTTTCGAACAAGAGTTGGAATTACAGGGCGTTGTGGGCTCAGTGGAACTCTCTGGCCGTAGAAAATGGTTTACTTAAAAGAGTTTGGGAAAGTGCCGGTGGGAAATCTACTAAGAGCCAACTGGTTATCCCAAAAGACCGAGTGGAAGATGTATTAAAAGAAATACACGACGGAACTTCAGGGGCACATTTTGGAGTTAACAAGACTTTGGACAAAATTCGGGAACGTTTTCACTGGGTCCACTATCATGAAGACGTTAAAAACCGGTGCCGAAAATGCGACATCTGTGCTACCAGTAAAGGCCCTAAACTAAGATCTCGACCAATCTCGGGGGCACATGAAACAGTACAACGTCGGTCTCCCATTTGAAAGAATAGCGATAGATGTTATCGGACCGTTCCCTGAGTCAGAGCGTGGTAACAAATACATCTTGGTTATCATGGATTACTTCAGTAAATGGCCAGAAGTTTTCGCTATTCCCAATCAAGAAGCCATCACTATTGCCCAGGTGCTAGTGGACGAAGTTTTCAGTCGTCATGGTGTGCCACTAGAGTTGCATTCGGATCAGAGACGAAACTTAGAATCTGCCATCTTTAAGAAAATTTGTGAGATTATGGGCATTCGTAAGACAAAGACCACACCTTTGCATCAACAGTCTGATGGAATGGTAGAACAATTTAATAAGACCATAGAGGAAAACCTGAGAAAAGTGGTCGCAAAGATCCAGCGAGATTGGGATAAACATTTCCCTCTATTTTTAATGGCTTACCTCTATATTTTAATGGCTTACACACAGCAGCTGTTCACGAGTCACCTGAAGAAGAACGAAAGGAAATACGAGATTATGGGCACGACTTGTAGGCATACATGATTTAGCTCGGGATCATATTCAGCTGGCCAATGACCGAATGAAGACTTGATACGACTTGAAAGCCAATTGAGCCAGATTTCAAGAAGCTGATCTGGTGTGCCTGTAAAATCCAAGAAGAAAGAAAGGAGTGTCGCCGAAATTGTCTTCAGCATGGGAAGGACCGTACAAAATAATCAAGGGGATCAATGATTTGGTTTATCGAAATCAGCTCAACACCAGGA